GTTTTCGGTCTGACTTGAAAGAAGATTAATGCTCGTATTTCTAGTGTTTTATTGAAGTTAAGAATTGAAATTGAGGAATTAAGAACCAGGTGTGGTGTCCATACCTGTAATCTCAGTAATGGGGATGTTGAGGCAAAATTGCTGTGAATTTGAGGCCAGCTTGGGTTATGAAGCAAGACCTTGTGTGTATGGGGGTGGGGTACTGATAGTGGGAGGAATAAGCAAAAGGAAACGAACAAAAAAACCTGAACAAACAAGGAATGTAGAAACTTACTGAATATTCCAACTTGCTTTTTTCTAGTATAGGTTTTGCGCGTTATTTTGGGAGAAGGAATTGATTATATGCATATGACAATTTCTAGTCCTTGTAAGATCAAGATAATTTTTAAGTTTTGAGGTTGTTTTTGTCGGTATGTCACCAATTGATCTGTAATATTAGAAGGGATAGACTACTATGAAAAGATAACTGATGAAATGTTCTTCGGAGAAATGTGGTTGGAATATACATACTGTGTGCACCTTTGCATACTACTTGAGCAGGAAGAGGAAGGGGTTACAGTTGGAGTCTGAACTGTCCCCACAAGCTCATGTTTTGTTTGCTTGATCTGAGCTGGTGGAGCTGGTTGAAACTAGGAGGTGAGGCTTGGTTGGAGGGAGTAGCACTGGGGTTTGTCCTTGAGTGTATCTTGTTCCTGGCATCTTCCGGTCAGTCTCCTGTGTACTGTGATGTGAACTGCCTTGTCATGTGTTCTCTATTGTTGCTTACTGAATCTTATGAAATGCTTTTGAACATTGTTTGTCACAGCAATAGAAAAAGTAACTAATTCATAGGTAGGTTTTATGTGCATTTGTTTTTGGTATCTTAAGAATGATTAGAGCTGGGGATGTAGCTTAACTGATTGAATGTTTGCCTGTTATGCATGAAACCTTGCGTTCAATCCATAAGACTAGATAAACTTTAGGGTGTGGTGGTGCACACCTGTGATCCCAACACTTGTCTCCGACTTGCAATCCCAATATTGGAGGTGGAGGCTCACCTTGAATAAGTAGGACCCTGTATCTAAATAAAGAGATAAATAAATGCACAACTAGAAAGTAGGCATAGTGGATAGTTTTTTTAATTCTAGCACTCAGGATTGCTGGGAGTTTGAGAACAGCCAGTGTTACATAGTTTCAGGACAGTCTGAGTTGTGGTGTGTGATCCTGTTTCAAAAACAGACAGACACAACATACACAAATAGAAGAAAAGTACTAGATTTACTTAGCTCTGTTGAAAATATATAAGAAATGCTGCTTTTATCATTTCTGAGTTTAACATTCGATAACTGATAAAAGGGGCTTTAGGGATGATACTGTGACTTTTGATTAATATTTTCATATGAATCTTATTTTGTAGAATTTAATGAGATATAGTAACATTAAAAAATACTAGTCAGTTTTGTGTTTTAAAGTGTTGTTAAGGTATATGTATTTAGGTCTAGAAATAGCACCATAGTCTTTAGTTTGAGGCTTGTGTTTTGCCTGGTTTGGGCTTGTAAACTGTTTAATGATTGCTCAAGCTGTAGGTCCCAAAGGGTTCAGATCCCCTAGTGTCTTAGTTTTATCTCTCTGCTTGTCTTTGAGTTTATCTAAATACTCAGAATGTGCATATTTGGATCCTTTCAGTTACAGTCCACTATTACTGGAGTATCAGTGTAGCTGTAAAAGGCGCTTAAGGATAGTATTCTGTGATCATAAAATTAAGTTTGAGTCTTTCAGTGGATGTAAGATGGAATCTTCATCTTGCTGCTCTTTCAACTGTAGCTCACTATATCAGCATCTTTTGGGGGGGGAGTGATATGTGAGGTGGGGTATCCTATGATCTCCTTTTCTGTTACATTCATTTACTGTGTGTGTGTCTGCCTGTGTGGAATATGAATATATATACACACACATGCATGGAGGCTATATATATGGGGACTATATATGGAGAATAATATATATGTATATGGAGGCTAAGGATTGAGTGTCTTTCTCAGTTGTTCTCTACCTTATTTTCTGAGATAGGGTTTCTCACTGAACTTGAAACTTACTCATTGACAGAGATCCTTCTGAGATTCCTTCCTTCCTTCCTTCCTTCCTTCCTACATAAGTCCTAATGCTTGTTCAGTAAGTGCCTTACTGACTAAATTGGTTACCACACAGAGAAATGGGTTTCTTTGTGATGCTTTCTTTGTGTGTGTGTGATGGCTGTCTTCATTTACTTGTCTCCTTTTTAGACTCTGATAAGTTGGATTCATTATTACCCATGTCTTTGCTTTCATATTTTTTTGGGGACCCCCCTTTTTATTTTATTTTATTTTATTTTTTTGAGACAGGGTGTCTCTGTATAGCCCTGGCTATCCTGGAATGATACACAAGTGCTAGGACTAAAGACATATGCCACAGCACCTGGCCATAATTTTGCTTTCTGTTTGTTTTCTTTATTTTGAATGTTTTCTTGGATTTATCAAATATTTGACAAATATTCAGTAATTTTAAATTTAAAGCATTGCCAATATTATGAACTTGAAGAAAAAACTTAGTTGATGTATTTTTAAATTTAGTTTACTTCTGGTAATTTTATGCATGTATGGTGTGTGTGGGATGTACTTGATGGCGGTGAGAGGAGGACTGTAGGTGTCCTCTGTCATTCTCTATTCTCGAGAGAAGATTTCTAACTGAACCTGGAAGTAGGCTGCCACATGGCTTGCTTGCTTGCTTGCTTGCTTGCTTATTTATTTATTTATTTATTTGTGTGGTTGCTGGAGATTTGAAATCAGGTCCTCCTGAGCAACCCAGTAGAACATTTCTGCAGATCTAAATTATTTATTTATTTTCTATTTTTTTAGTTTTGAAGTAATCAGTTAGTTTTAAAAGTGGGCAGCTTTAAGCTTCTTCCTGGCTTTATCAGTTCTACTGGCTCTCTTACCATATCTTCAGCTCCAGTAGAAATTCACTTACAAACTAAATAAAAAATGACTTCACTGGGTGGTGATGGCACAGGCCTTTTAATTTCTGAGTTTGAGGCCAACTTGCTCTACAAAGTGAGTTCCAGGATTGCCGGAGCTGCTACCCTGTCTTGAGGAAAAAACAGTAAAACAACAAAACATTACAAAAACATTACATCATATAACAAATCTGGGGTATTGCAGTTGGCTTGGTTAGGGTAGCAGCTTGACAAATCTGCTCGGATTCTGTCTTCCTTTCTGCCTTAATCATACCTATGGCTTTCTTTACCCGAGACTGTAGCAGTTTGGGGTGTCACTTCCTGTATTTATTTTAGATATGTTTTCACTGTTTAGTCCAGGCTGGCCCCAGGGTCATGCTCCTCTTGCCTCATTGTCCTGGGTGATAGATTTATAGGTGTGTGTCACCATGCCTGGTCCTTGTGTGTTTGTGATTGAACCAGAACCTTCAGCATAATAACCAGACACTACAACTGAGCTATATTCTAGCTCTGTGTTTTTGCCTTTTAGGCCACATGAGAAGGGAAATGAGATTCCTGAGTGCGATTGGGTGGAATTAGAATGATTATGAATGAATTATCTCTACACTTTTGCCTCTTACCAATGGCTTAGATATCTCAGTTTTAATATGCTGGTCTTTAAACAAGATTTCTCAGATAACTTGGTTACACTTAGTGCTTGAGAAGTAATGATCTAGACTAGTCAAGATGTAACCTGGGCTGTAGGAAGCTTTATTTATAAACCCAGGGTTTCAGACTATCTGAACAAAATTAAGACTCTGAGAAATGAGAGGGGTGTCTTGGCTGTTGACTTAAAGTGTACCTTTTTACTTATATTTTTGGTTGAAAATTTTTTTTTTAAAAAATTTTTCCTTATGGTTGTAGGCAGAAGAAAAGATAATGGGTATAGCTGGTAATCTGTTCTCTTTCATAGGGAATCTGTTCTGCTTTTTAAAACTGAACTTTATAAAATGTACCTATACGGTATCTTGGATCAGAAATCCTGTAGTTAGAGAATGCAGGCTTATTTAAATGTGCTTTTGTTTTTCATTTGTTCTCTGATATTGTTGATACAATTTAGTAGGTTTAAAACATTGTGTAGGGAGGGGCTAGAGAGATTGGCTCAGTGGTTAAGAGTATGTATTGCTGCTGTTGCACAGCAACAGCACCCACATCCAGCAGCTTACAATCACATGTCACTCCTGCCGCAGAGGATCTGATACCTACCCTATTTTAGATTCCACAGGCATGTGCACTCACATGTGTATCCTCTTCCTACCACTTAATTTAAAAATAAAAAAAGAAATATTACATAGTTACCATTTCTGTGGTTTTTAGAGTCTGGACACAGTGTTTTCTGGGTCCTCTGTAAGGCTGCAGTAAAGATGTTCCCAGGGTTGGGTTCTGCGGATAGACTGTTTCTAAACTTCTGCTATCATTCAGGTTCTTTGCTTTATTTATTACAGTGTGGGCCTTAACCAGACGTCTCTCTCTCCATTGCTTGCTTGTGGCCCACCCTAGCCAGCATACTAATGTCTTGGCTTGTGTCTTCAAAGCCAGTAGTAAGAAGCAACATGGCCATTATGGTACTGTTTCATTCCATATAGCTTATCATTTTTGTCGTAGTCTGTTGGTTACAAGTTGGTCATAGGTCACACTTAAGAAGGAATTTTATAACAACAGGAATATACATGTAGCTTTATGTGTGAGATTTTGGGACCACTTCACAGTGTGCCACAAAGCTGAACTGTAGGAATGCAATATGTAATGAATATCCATTGTGTTTCTCTTGAGGCTCTCACTTAAAAATGTATTATGCTCTATATTTACGTGATCAAGGACTGCTGATGTGATCAAATATTTAAACCACCAAGACAAGCCTTATATCTTTGCAGTATTAGTTGTTGCTACACAGATTCTATAACTGAAAACTTGTTAATATGGTTTATAGATACTTTGTGAATTAGATTTTAGACATTGTTTTCTCCTTTTTTTTTGTTTTCTCCTTTTTTAGTTGACTATATTGTGGAGTATGACTATGATGCTGTACACGATGATGAATTAACCATTCGAGTTGGGGAAGTCATCAGAAATGTGAGAAAACTACAGGAAGAAGGATGGCTGGAAGGAGAACTAAATGGGAGAAGGGGAATGTTCCCTGACAATTTTGTTAAGGTAAGTATTTTCAGTTTAATGTCTTGCTTTCGCTTCACAGAATTAAGTATGTATGTCAAGAAATACATACATGTTCAAAATGACAATACTTTAAAATGTTTATTCTTGACATTTAGAAAAACACAGGTACAGATACATCTGTAACAGATTTTACTCTTGATTGGCAGCCTGCTGTATAGTAAGGCTGTGTGGATGTATGTGTATCTTTGTGCTTGTTTATGCTTGTATGCATGTATCTACCTGCCCACCGTTCCCTTTTGTAAGCCCTAGATAATAGCTTTCAATTGGGTTGCACTTTGAGCTGGTGTCTCAGAATTGTTTTTTTTTTTTTTTTTAACTTAGATTTATCAGATGCATCATTCATCTTTGCAAATATTTTCTGCTGTGTATTTTCTTCTTCTCTTGGTGTATTCCCACCCCCCTTACTCTTTGTGTGTGTGTGTGTGTGTGTGTGTGTGTGTGTACATAGAATTTATTAGAGATGAGCTTGGACAGTGACCCAAGAGACCATTGCAGTAATGTACACTTTGAAGGGGTAAGATTCGACAGTGGCTAAGGAGACTATGTGTCCACCTACATTTAGGAAGTCTTTATACCATTTCTATAGTTTCTGTAACACACAGCTTTCTTGTTCATGTGATTGACAGGCTCCATTTGGTTTGCCTGTTTTCCTTCCTGAGATGGGGTTTTACTGGCTGGCCTTGAAACCACAGATCTGCCTACTTCTGCCTCCCTCCCCCTTTCTAGGATTTAAAGGCATGCCACCATGCTTGGCTGAATTTATTCTTTCTGTATTTGAGACAAGGTCCCACTATATAGCTCTGGCTGTCCTGGAACTCACTATGTAGATCAGGCTGGCCTTGAACTCACAGAGATCCACCTGCCCCTGCCTCCTGAGTGCTGTAATGAATTGACATAGGAGGGGACAATGATAATGTCTTTATTTGTTACTAGAAAGCCTTCATGGAGTTAGTAATCTCATTACTTAATTTTTAATGTTAGTTATCTATTAATGGTCTTCTATGCAGGTCAGAATGCTGTTTTCACCAAGGGCCACTGCTGTTTCAGATCCCATTCATTTGATCAGTAATTGTAGTGCTGGAGTTTGAGTCCTTGGTTTTAATGGGTGCTGATTATGAGGGGAGTGGCCCATCCTCAGTGACATCTAACCCTGCTAATATATAACTAGCTACAACTTTTCCTCAAGAGGTGAGACCCATGCTAGAGGGATGGCTCAGTGGTTAAAAGTGCTTCTTGTAGAAGCCTGACAACTTGGGTTAGATCCTTGAACTCATGTTAAAAAGATAGATTAAGTTGCTTGTATCTGTAATCCCAGCATGCCAAATGGGAGCTGGAGGTAGGAGAATTGCCTGGGAAGTTGTCGGCAGACCAGTTAGCATGTCAGAAACCATAGAGAGACCCTACTTCAGCAGAGGGAAAAGAGAGAACCGACTCATGAAAGTTGTCCTCTGACCTCCACTCATGTACCATGACATCACACAATGTGTGCACACACTCTAACAATAGTAATAGGAATAAAGGAATCGAGACTTCACAATATACGTGGAGATCTGGCTGAAGTGAGGCATAGTAGTGTATAGAGATTTCAGTCTTGCTAACTTAGACCTTGGATGGCAATCAAGGTCACACCCAGATATATGGAGTTAGACCACTGCAGAACTGAGACTTCAAGGTTTACCTGAGGCTTCATCCAATTTGTTGTGATTGAGTTAGAGGCCACCTTATTCAAGGGCAGCACCAGGGGCTCTGCTCTGAGCATCTTTTGATCCTGAGGGCAGTAAGCCCTCTAGTACCCTGTTACATTGAGGGCAAGGAATCCTAGTATACCCAGTAATTGGGCACTTTCTCTTCCAGTGATCTGGTGCTTACAGCTTTAACATTAATGTGTCAGTGTATTTCTTCTTATGGAGAGGATCCAGTGGGAGATCTTGTTAACCACTGAAGCTACGAAAAGTTCTGTATGCCCTTCACTCATATTCTTTCCTTTCGTCCTAAACTTTGTTCCTCCTGTAGGTGCTGGTTATAGGAAACAGAATTTGCTGTTTTTGTAGGTTATTAGTAGTGATCTCAGGTCTCACTGTGATAGTACTTGTAGTTATCTTCTAATGCCAAGGGCAGATTGAGTAAGAAATCTGTCTAAGACAAGTGTGTACATTGAGGAATCCTGTAAGTGTAGCAGAACAGGGAATCCATGATCTCAACCTTACTAGGGAAGTCTCTGACTTACCTATGATGAAGATGAAGAAATTCAGTTGCACCTTGATGGGAATGCTAAAATAATGTAACTTGGACTTTCCTTAGCTCCTTAGTCCCTGTGATCTCTGTTGAAAGAATTCAAACAAGACACATGTAGTGTAGACATAGCTAGAGTTGATTGAAGCTTGAAGTGGAGCTCTATCAAGGGGTGAGAATGGGCAATGGCCAGAGATGGCTGCTTAGTGAACGGCAGTGTCATCTGAGAGTTGCTCAAGCCAGGAAGTTGGGTATCATCTTCTCTGAGTGGAGATGATGAATTTTCAAGATTCTCAATATTTTGAATATTTTCTGAATCTTTCTAACTCTGTCTGCTCTGTCATTGACTCAGGGAATAGTGATCATCAGTTGCACCTGCTTGCCTTAAGCTTGTTGTCGTACTGCACATGCTGACCTCCTGCATTGTGGAAATGTTTCAGTGTTGTCCTGCCATCTTTGTAGTATATTTCAGAGCCTTGTATCATCAACCTTCCAGCCTAATTGCTCTTAGTCTTTATGACTTAACAGTCATAACAGATCTCTTCACTTTCATGCTTCAGCTATATGTAGTGTCACCTTGGTTTCTCAGAAGTTTTGCTCTATGTTGTCTTCCAGTCAGGTTGTTCACATTCTGTCTTTTGTGTTGCTTTCCATGCCTTGCTGCCTGTTACTTACTTGCCTCAGTAGAAGGAGTTAGTTCTATTCTACCATGTGGATACTGCCAGTTAAAATTAGGTTGTCAGGTTTGGTGGCTGGTGACTTTACCCACTGGCCATCTCACCAGCCCTGAGGTCACTTTGTGAAGTTACTCTGATTTGCCTTTCCTCTGCTAAATTTATGTAGGTGAACTAAAGTTCAGTAACTTTCAGCCTCGAACAGAGGCTGAAGACAGGACATGGACTGAGGTCACTTCCATGGCTGCCTCTCATACTGACATTTTAATCATTGAACATGGCATGACTTCATGTTTATGTGGTCTTTTGTTTCTTCTAGTAAAATTTCATACTCTCTTGCAGATGATTCTTTTTTTTTTTGGGGGGGGGGCAGAGTTTCTTTGTGTAGCCCTGGCTATCCTGAAACTTGGTGTGTTCACTAGGCTGACCTTAACTCAGAGATCACTTGCCTCTGTCTCCTGATTACTGGGATTAAAGGTGTGTGCCTCCACTGCCCAGCATTTATTTTATTATACCTGTGAATTAGAGCAGGGAGCCACTAAGTTAAAACCTATAGGATAGAATCTGGTCATTGGTTTGTACAAGGCCCATGTTGTAAGGTTGCTAGGTAAGATTTTTATAATTGAATGGAGGAAAATTAAGTATTAAATGATGCGTAAGATATGTGAAAATTAAAAGACCCCCCCTTTTTTTTTGGAAATAGGGTCTCATGTAGTCTTGTTGGCCTTGATCTCATAGTGAAAGATCGCCTCGAACTCCTGATTCTCTTTGCCTCTAGTTCCCAAGTGCTGGGATTGCAGGTGTGGACCATCACGCCCAATTTATGTTCATGGATACCTTTAGAATATGCTTGAGTTTAGTTATTTAAGTATATGACTGTATTTGAATTACATATAATAAATTTGATATTGGAAAGAGGTTGCATGGCCTGGTAGCCGTATATATTTAGTATTTAGTGCTTTATAGAAAAAAGTTGTGTACCCTTGACTTAAAACTATTGTGTTATTTTTTTGGTGTTTCAGTCTTTTCTTGTGTATGTTAGTGAGGGTAGGTTGCAGCTCTCCTGTACCTTTTCTCCAGTTTCAATAAGATGTAAACTTATACAATGTCATGCTTGGCAAATGATCTGCGTTCTTCAGCAATATCTGAATACAAAAAAGCTTAAAAATGAGTTATGTCATGACTTGTTTAGTAATTACTGTAGATATGTCTGGGTATTTTACATTTGAGAAACAGTAGGGAGACTGAGGTTGGAGGATTACTGCGTGTTCTAGGCTAGCCTAAGTTACATTAAAAACGATATAGAAATGTTTAAGAATGGAAATTGAATAAGACACACTAAATTTTTTCTTTTATTGATTTCCTTTTTTTATAGGAAATTAAGCGAGACACAGAACCCAAGGATGACAATTTGCCCATCAAACGGGAAAGACACGGAAATGTAGCAAGTCTTGTACAGCGAATCAGCACTTATGGACTTCCAGCTGGAGGAATTCAGCCACATCCACAAGCCAAAGCTATTAAGAAGAGTATGTCAACAATTCTTTCCTAGTTAGTTATGTCAAAATAGGATATTTATGACTGCTCATAAATTCAGAAAGATGAGTTCAGTCTTATACAGCCAACTGTAGTAATTAGGTTAGAATCATGTACTGATGATTGGCATACATAGTTTTTATGCTTGGTCATGTTGAGTTAATAACATTAATAATCCAGTTTGAGGAGCTGGTAGCCATATACAGGAATTGCAATGAAGATCTCCAGTTTATCTCTTACTGTCTCTAGAATGACCAACACATTGATTGTATTTGATAGTACTTACTAGATGTTGAGGTATCTGCTAGTCTGAAGTGTCTGATAGTTTTTTTCTTTTTTTCTTTTTTCCTTTTCCTGTGAAATAAGATCTTGCTCAGTAGCTTATGTTGGCTTCACATGTGTGATTCTCTGGAAAGTTCTTTGTCTGTAAATAAGTTAGGGAAAAAATTGACACAGAAAGAATACCATGATTTATTGATTTTTTTTAAAATAATTCATCCCAGAGGATGGGGAGTAGCTCTCATTCAAACTACCAGACTTCCTCTCAGTTTTGGTATAAGTAGTGAGGGAAAGACCACAGACAACACAGGTGAAACCTATGTCCAGACAAATTTTTGGACACATGTGACCTGCCAAAATGCAAGAAAATATAAAAAAGAAATCCACGATAGACCCCTAGTGAGTAATGATAGTGAATCAGTAATAAAATTTACCAACCACGAAAAAAAGCCTGGCACCAGAAGAGGCTGCACTGTTAAATGTAACCAGACATTTAAAGAAATAACACTAGTGTTTCCCAAGCAAATTCTGTATAATTGAGAGGGAGAGAACCCTTCCAAATTCACTCTGTGAGGCTGGCAATATTCTGGTCCCCAAACCCAACAGGAGCAAACAAAGAGGAAAAAACCCCTCCAGTGCCTTTGATGAACACAAAAAAAAAAAAAAAAAAATGCAAAATTCTAGCAAACTCAGTTTGACAGGCTTACCACAAATATCACATGCCAAGTTTCCTTCCAGAGATGCAAAGATGTTTTAACATATGCAAATCAGCAAACATAATCATATAATCATCTCAATAGATGGAGAAGAAACATTTGATAAAACTCAACATCCCTCATGGTGTGGACATGGTAGGTACAGAAGACTCATACCAGAGTGTGCTGCAGGCACATAGAGTAATGAATGTGAAAAACCGAAAGCATTTCTTGTAAGGCCAGGAACAAGACAAGGGTGACAAGATTTGCATGGTCAGGGATGGAGGCACTTTTCATGGTTTTTTGTGTGTGTGTGTGTGTTTGTGTGTGTGTGTGTGTGTGTGTGTGTGTGTGTGTGTGTGTGTAGAGAGAGAGGGGGGGAGGGAGAGTGGGAGGGAGAGGTAGCTAGAGCAATTAGGTTAGATAGACAGAGAAATATCAGGCATATGAGCAGGAAAGGAGGAAGTCAGATTATCCTGCTTTCACATTATGACAGAAAAATCTAGAGACCAACCAAGACAACATGCAGAAATTAGTAATGCTGTAATTCTGGTACTTGGGGGTTAGGGTCAGAAGCTTAAGGTTACACTTGGCCATGAAGCAAGTCTGAGGGCATTACAGGACACATGAGACCCTGCCAAGTCTGATAGCCTGAGTTTGATATCTGAGACTCACATAGTAGAAGGAGAGAATTGACTTCCCCATGTTGTCCGTTAAACTTCACATGCTTGCTGTAGCACCCCTTCCACACATTAAAAAAAAAAAAAAGCAATTTTAAAAAATTTAAGAAGAAAAATGCTTAGTACTGTCTTCAGAGTAATTCAAAACTATAGCAAGATACCATTTTTATCCTATTTATGATGGCTGCTATGAAACAACATAAATTGGAAAAAAGGAAGATGTGTGCACTGTTGATGTTACATAAATTAGGTCAGCCATTTTGAGAAACAGAGTGGCAGTTTCTCAAGAAATAAAAATAATCCCAGCACTGGGAGGCAGAATAATCTGGATTTCAACCAGGACCTGTGACAAACAAATAACAGTACCTACCAAAAATTCAGCTATATTCTTAGCGTATCTGAAAGAAATGAAGCAGTGTACTAAAATACATGCACTTGTGTTTAAGCAGCACCATTCCAATAGCTAAGTTTCAGTATCAGGGTAAGTGACCATCTACTGATAATTGGCTAAAGACAACACGTTAACGGCATAATGGCATATTATTTGGTTCAAAATAAGAATGAAACCCTGCTGTACGTAGCAAAATAGACTTGAAAAAGTACAATAGTAAAAGGATTATTGGGGTCTGGGTTGGGTGTGGGCTAGTTGGATGTTACCAGTGCACATCACTGAATCCCACCACTATGTGCAGTTTTGATGCTGAGTTAAACATTTAAAAGAATAACATGTACAAATGGTGAGAGGCAAATGCCTAACTGAAAAAATCTATTTCAGCTTCTTTATAGTAACTCATTCTCTGACAGATATAAACACATAGGTAAAAATAAAATTTTACTTTAGGTTTTTATTTGTTATATTTGGAGATGATAATATATAATGATACAGGTTTGTGTTTCCAAATCTTTCCATCTCTGAGAGGTAAACAAGGCTGAGGCAGGAGGACAGCAAGTTCAGGGTCAGTCAGGTGGGATCTGGGAGGATGAAATAAAACGGTCAGTGAATATATGAAAATTGTAATTGGCAAGAAGGCTTAGTGGGTAAAGGTGCTTGCACCAAGCTTGTATTAAGAATTCAGATGCTTGTAGTTAGTAAAACACTATTTTTTATATTCAAAATCTATTTTCTCACATTAGCAGAAAAATGCTACCTGGAAGCTTGTTAGAAATGCGCTATTATTGTATCAGGGACTCTAAAATATTAGGATTCCTACAGAAAATACTGTAGCTGAGCAGTGAAAAATAGGGATTTATGATAATTACCTAATGTTTAAAGATTATATGACCAATAAGAAAGATACTTAAATAGTGTTTTGCCAAGCAAGTAAAAATGCCTCGCTGTGCAGTGTGGACAGGAGAAAAGAGGCTCTGCCTTACTTCTCCAGCTCTGTCCCCTTTCCTTAGCTAACATACACTGAGGTCCTGTATTTGTCTAAAAGGGGACATATAAGCACCTACCTGGAAATCTAGCTGGGTGTGATTTTTAAAGAAAAAGCTGACTTGATTTTTTTTTTTAAGTTCAGATTGTCCAATATCACTTTCAAATTTTTTACTACATTTGTTTACTTACATGTGTGACATAGCACACATGTGGAGGCCAGCTAGA